CACCACGCCCAGCTAATTTTTTTTTTTTAATTGTAGATACAAGGGCACGCCATGTTGCCCAGGCTGGTCCTGAAATCATGGGCTCAGACAATCCTCTCGCCTCTGACTCCCAACATACCGGGATTATAGGCGTGAGCCACCACACCCTGCTGGGGAGGACATCTTGAAATGTTATGTCCTGCTTTTAAAGAAGAGTTGGAGTGTTCTCATGCCCGCTGCCCAGCGCGCCATTCACCAGTGTGGTTGCCATGGCGGCGCCTGCTGGGAGGGCCCCGGGCTCCTCCAACCCCCAGCGTCTCAGTTCCCGTCAGGTCTCACTTGTGCACAACTGGAAGACCAAGCCGCCCGATTGCACAGCATTCATTGCCTCCACCGCCCTCACCCTGGGAGCTTCCTCAGCTCTTCCTGATCTAAATTTACACCTGACACTTTTGAAGGTGGCGTGATGGGCATGTTGCATGTCCCTGGTGAGGGGCTGTTGGCTGTTGGGTGTTCCTCACCTCGAGGCTCTGTGTGTGCTCCTGGTCCACCAACCGAGACAGGAAGCCACACAGTTCAGCGGGTTTTCTTGTCACCTTCTACTAAGTGGCAGCCAGCCTGGCTGTTTCCCTTATTGATGGAAGCCTCTGTCAGTGCTTGCGGCATCCGCCAGGTTTCTCCATCCACAAGTTGCTCGTGTGCTGTAGTGAGCAGGCACTTGGTGGGAGATTCTGAAGTGTGCCACCCCATCACCATCAGACTCTTAAGTCCTATGTGTATCAGCACCAACTCCTGTCTCAGTTGGTGATTAGAATCCCAACAGAGGGCTCTTGTACTGATCAAACTGAGTTCAGTTGGAGCGCTGGAACCCATTCAGGCTGCATTTGGTGTCCTTAGGGTTTTCAGTGGGTGCAGGTTCCTTTCCAGTTTTATTTTATTTTTAATTGGCAAATAATAATAGTGTGTATCTATTATTATACAGTACAGTGTGATGTTTTGGTACATGCTTACATCAAGGAATGATTACATCAAGCCAATTAACAAATCTGTTACTTCACATACTTTTTTTTTCCTTTTTGAGTCAAAGTCTCACTCTGTCACCCAGGCTGGAGCGCAGTGGCATGCTCATGGCCACCACAGCCTCGACCTGCTGGACTCAGGCAATCCTCTCACCTTGGCCTCCGAAAGTCCTGGGGTTCATAGGCATGAACCCTCTGCACCCGGCCTCATGCGTATTTTTTTGTGGTGAATTCATTTGAAATTTCTTTTAGCGATTTTACGCGTACAACACCTTTTTATTTGAGTAGCCATTCTGTGCAGTTGATTTTCTGAAACCAATCCCCTGCCTCGCCGAAGCTTTGAACTCTCAGGCCAGCTGCCCCCTCTGCGCCCTCCCCTCTGTCCTGCCCCCCTCACCGCTGTCCTGCACTCTGCTGCTGTGCATCAGCTCTTCAGAGTCCACGTGGGAGTGTTGTCTGTGCATGTGCCTGCCTGCGCCGGCTTACTTCACCTAACAGAACGTCCCTGGGTTCATCCTCGATGCTGTGATGACAGGTTTTCCTTCTTGAGGCTGGGTGTATTCCATGGTGTCTGTGCCCCGTCTTCTCTGTCCACACCTCCATGAGGGACACCTGTGGGTGCTCCTGTAACTTGGCTGCCGTGGCCGACGCAAGTGCAGGTGTCCTGTGAGCATCAGTGGTCCCCACTCCTCCGGGGGCACACTGCAGGGGGTTGCTGGAGTGTGTGTGTGAGTTCTGGTTGTTGCTGGGAGCCTCCCTGGAGCTTTCCATTAGGGCTGCGCTCATTGGCAGCCACCAGCAGGCACTGGTCCCCTGCTGTCTGTGTCCTCCCTGCATCCTCACCAACTTATTGTCTTTTGTCTTTTTGATAAGGTCGTCCTAGCAGGTGTGAGGTGGTGTCTCGTTGAGCTTTTAATTTGCATTTCCCTGATGATTACTGATACTGGCCATTTTCGTAGACCTCTTGGCCATTCGTACATCT